AAAAAAAAAAAAAAAGGAGGTGGGCTAGTGAAAGTGTGCCTATTTAGAAGAGTTTCAGTGCAATCCTTCTCATTGAGCTGGTGTTTTTTCTCTTTTTCAGTAGAAAGTTCTCGGGTCACTCAATGCTTTTTCCTCCCCAGATGTTTTTAATTGACTCAGTTTCAGTTTGAACCTGATGATAAAGGCTGTAGACAAATACTTGTGACAGAAAAGTAAAGGATGTTGGGTGTGCTGTCAGATTCTGGGTGTGTTGTAGCAGCCATTTTTATTAGGGGTTCAGCTGGTATTGATTGGTTCTGGGTGAAGTGGGAGGCAGTAAATCAAGTTGAGCCCTTCCAGCATCACTCATTATTTGAAAATGTGTTCCAAAAATATACATAATTTGAGAATTTGTAAGGGAGCAGTCACTGATTGTGCGTGTTTGGGAGATCCTCCCCAAACACACATGCACCTCTTTACATCCTGATGTGAGGAATAATTTAGTTCTTGTCCTTTATACTCTGCATTGCATTCAGTTCTTAGAGCTGCGGTTGTCACTCTTTTTTTAGATTTAGGGCACCCCTCCATAACTTCTCTGAATTTAGCAGTGTCCTGGTGGAGAACTACTGCACTAGGTCTTATCACTAGTCAAGGGGCTGGCTGAACATGCCTTCTGCAGTATAGTGCTGGAATGGGTAACTAATGATTCTGACATTCTAGAAAAGCCCTGAGAGAAACTATTGCATAGTGTGTAATATAGTGCCCTACTCCCATCTCATGTACATAAGACGCAATGCTTCATTGCCTAAAGCTGGAGGTTCCTAGCTAGAGGATCTTGCCCCTCTGCTCAGGGTCAGACAGATCGCCATATTTGGGGTCCAGAAGGAATTTTACCCCATGGTCAGATTGGTATGGACCGTGAGGAATTTTTGCCTTTCTCTGTAGCAGGGGTGTGGCCTTCTACTTGGATTCTCTTGAGTGTATATTAACACCCTTTTACAGAAGAGGGACGTTGGCTGCTGTGGTCCCCTTTCTTTGCCAATGGCAGGTTAGGGTATTATGTCTTGTTTTTTTCAGGGTTGATGGTAGTTTACTAAGAGGCTAGATTATCAGTTTGTATAAGATGACTTGGATAGGGATGATCCTGCCTCAGGCAGGGGGTTGCACTAGATGAGCTATGGAGATTCTTTCCTACACTACTTCTCTATGGCTCTATGATTTGAGGAGGATTACTTTGGGCAAGAACCTTTGGTGGTGTAAACTACACTGACTGTTGGCGATTGCAGTGTTGATCCTCACCAGCTGAGTGTCTGGCCTTTTAAGTTTAATTGTGTTGTAACCGAGATAAAGATATGTGTTCATCATGTTTATCTCCAAGCTTTCATGCTGCCATTGGGGCCAGGTGAAACTGCTCTGGGTTCCTCTGTTTCCAGGAGGCATGTGCAGGGCTGTACCTGTGGCAGAAACAGGTACCTGATAAATCTAATGCAGGCAGGCGCACCCATCTTTCCCACAGCTGTTTTCTGGTATGGCCCTCCATGTACTTCCTGGAGACAGATGCCCAGAATGATTTCACCTTGCTGTGGCTTGGCATTGTAACACCAGTAAAGGGTCTTGTGGCATCCCAGTTAAAAAAAAACAAAAAAACAAAAAAACCCACTGCCTTAAGGTATTTGAAGAGTAGACTATAATACTCAACATATAATGCCATCATATAAGACAATGGCATGCTCTTATCTTGTAATGCTGCATTCAGTTTTGATCACCTCTTCTCCAGAAAACTACAGCAGAAGTACTAGAGGTCCAGGAGTAGGTAATCAAATTGATTAGAGAGATGGGGCAACTTTTCCATAAGGTGAGAGTGAACAAAGGGGGATGAATAAGACAGGGGTCAAGATAGAAGCACAGAATATAATGAATGGTGCAGAGAGGTTAAACCAGGCTCTTCTGGTTATTCTTTCTTGTAATAAATGAAACATGAGGAGATATGTAATTAAATTGAGTGACAAATTTAAAACTGGTAAAAATTTTTACATTATTTAACCCATGGAACTCATGGTCATAAGAGATAATTTAGACCAAAAATGTAAAAAGTTTCAAAAAAGGATCAGACCTAAGTATGGATACAGAGAGAGCTGTCAAGAGTTATGTTACAAATAAGAGGGGAACCTTGTAGTAAAAGCCAAGTGCTAACTATTAGCAGCTAAAAAAAATTTCCCAATGGGCTAGTTATTCTAGAACTGCTTATTGTAAGGTTTCTGATACCTGGTACTAGCTGCTGTCAAATTTAGGACATTAGTAAAGATGGATTGTTGTGCTGATCCATTGTGGCTGTCACTGTCCATGCTGTCAGCTAAGAGGAAGTCTTATCTGCGCCAAGTCTATTTAGGATTGTTGCCTAATCTTATTTCTCCATGAGATGTTTGTAATTTGTATCGGTCTTTCCTATGGAAAAACCCACATTTTAATTCAGGTAGGAGAATTTCTTTTTGTCCTTACAGAATAATTATATAGAAGAAGAAATTGTTTGATATATTTTGTAACTTCATCTAAGACTTGTGTGTGGTTTAAATTATCAGAGCTTAAATACCTGTTACCTGTCACTAAAACTGTGCCCACAATATGTAGCCATATTATTGGTACATTTTGATTTGTATTTTTATGATATTTGGGTATCAACATAAAGGAAATACATATAGATGCACTGTTGCATTGGTCTGATATTGGATCAGCAGCAATATAAAGAAAATTATGTGTATCAGAAATTGGTCGGATGCAGCCAATAATTTGTCCAATAAATGCCCATTCATGTGCACAGCCTCAACGCAGCACATAGGCAGTGAGGAGCAGAGCTGGCAGCGTGGAATGCTGCCTGCAGCTGGTAAGTCTGGTGTGGTAGAAGGAGTATGGGGGGGCAGATCAAGACGCCCGTGGTGAGGGAGGGTGTGGAGTTGGGGTTTGAGCTGGGGTGGGTGCAGGACAGAGGCATGGCTTGTCAGGGTGGGCACAGGAAAGGGGGTGGCTCCCACTGCTGTGCGCAGCTTGTCTGGGAGGTGGAGGTGTCCCCGGATCTAGTGGCTGGAAGGAGACTGGCCCCAGCTCACCTTGCCCCACCCTGTCCCCCTGTGCCCTCCCAGACAAGTGGCAAGTGCAGCAGCAGGAGCCTCCAGATGAGCCATACACAGCAGCGGGAGCCACCCCCTCACCCAACAAGCCATGCCTCCATCTCATGCCCACCCTGGGCCCAACCCACAGCTGCAGCCTGCACAGCACAGATTCAGGGGGCATACCCTCCACCCCCTTGACAAGCCATTTGCGGCTCTGTCCCTGTCCCTGTCCCTGTCCCACACCCCTCCCTGCTCCAGCTGGTCAGCCCCAGCCCCATTTCCTCCCTCACAGCAGGCCCGCCCCCCTTCCTCCCCTTCCACTACACCAGACTTACCAGCTGTATGGAGCTCTTCAAGCTGAAGAGCTGTGTATCGGAAACCGGATTCATATCAGCCAATATGCCTCCTTAAAAATCAGCCATCGGTATCGGGCCCCAAAAATCCCTATCTCTGCACCCCTAATGTAAATTGTTAGATGAATTTTTTAGAGTTACAGAATTTCTTTGTATATTCTTATGGCTACATTTGTTGGAACTCTTGCATATGAGCTGCTACTTTTAAAATTGGGGCATTGAAAAATGTTTTAACCTAGTTTAGTAAGCACCACATTGGATTGCTTTTGTGATAATTTTGCTATACTGTATATTGGAAGAAAAGTCTAATCTTATTTTTTATAAGAGTTTTCTAATTTGACACAGTGATATAGTGGTGGGGTTGTTTTGACAGATAGTATGTAGAAAATATGTAGAGTACTATGTTTGCTATTTGTATTGAATCAGTTATAAAGTCTTGAGTTGGTCTTTAAAAGGGCTTATTTTAATGCCAGTATTCTGTCAGCATGTATCACTTTTGCTGCTTCCTGGTAGTTTCCAAAAAAACTGAATAAAAACTGCAATCAGCTGTGCAGTTGGGTAGTTTCTATTTTGTGTGTGTACAACAGATTAGACTGTTCTAGGAAGTTAAGTTGAGAGCACTCCCTACCTTTTAAGAATATTGTAAAGGTGAGCCCCATAATTTATAACTTGAATAATGTTGTCTCCCAGCATATAGGTAGGCAGAACTCCACGTTTCTGTACTGAGTGAATAAAACACCCCTCATTTTTTTTCATTAAAAAGTATAAATATCTGAAGCCAGTGCTAGATGCTTACTTGTATAAAAATCCACAGTGACAATTTTGCAAACAAGCAATTAAATGTTGCAGATTTTCTCAAAACTCATTGAGATTGGAAAGGCGGGTCTCCCTTACCCATTTTATTAGTTTACCTTTGGCTTTAATGGCATATATTTGCTGTAAATATGTATATCCACGTTTGTGAACCTGCTGCTTATTAGGGTGTATATAAGGTGTCTAAACAAACTGATTTTGCAGATTGATTACATTAATAGTTTTATATCTTGGTTCCAGCAAAGCTCTGCTGGTTGTCCTCTCCTTTTCACAGCTGCCTGGCATACTTCCATCTCAGTAAAACCACTGGCAGTGAGGTGAATGCTAGGCCTGTCCCGGCATAGAACTTCCCTATTGCTCAGAGGTAGTCCCATGTGTCCTGAAGCCTGTGGTTTTCTCTTAGCTCAGAGCATACTGACCCATGTGAGTGTGAGACCCGAAGTGCTCAAGTCCTCCTCATGTGTAAGAGTATGTAATAAATCAGTGGGTAGATGCCAGGATCTTTGTAGGCCCAACAACTATCTCCTAAGGAACAGAAATGCTATGAAATGAAATGAAAGATATGAGA